ACGTTAGGAAACAAAACTTCAAGAACACGGCCACACAGCCCGGAAGACCTACACCAGCCATAATATTTGAATGAATTAAAGATTAAGACTGTTAGAAGAAAAGGAAGGAATATAAAGTTGGTGTATTTGATCAAGGTTAAAATAAGATACGTTATTACTTCTGGCTATCCTTTTTGGACTTTTTGCTGACACCAGGACTGAAAAGATGATGTTTTATGGATTTGTTTATAAATGGGATATGGGATGAAGAAATAAATGTTTGTAACTTTAGAGAGAGTGAAGAATTACTAAATTTGTTTATACTTACGATGAAGTTTAGAAGTCACTTCTTATATATTTCTTTTCTTTTTCTTCATTCTGTTCTTTTTTCTTTCTTTTTCCTTGCACTTTTTACTCCTCCCCCACCTGCACTCGTGGTGTAGCATCTTCTCCTGCTGCATTTCATAGCTCTCATGCCCACATCAGTCTACTTGCGAACCTCCCAGGGCTTGCAACTTTCTGCCAGCTTCCCCATTGATTTCGCTTGTTGGAAGCTGGCAGGAAGTCATAAGTCATGGTCACATGAGGTTATGGATCACTTAACAACCTGTGATCCTTGCTTAATGACGGCAACAGGGACTGCCAGGATTGCTGTTGCTATACAATGAAGTCACGTGATGTAGTGCTTTATGGCTGTATCTCTTAGCGACAGTCCCAGTTAAGCATTAGTGAGGACTACCTGTAGAATGCTATGTAGATTTTAGTACAATGTTCATGTATGATAGCAACCCAGCAACTATAGCTGAATATGTTAAAAAGTAGCTCCTATGAAAAGAACTACATAAAATAAGCTTTCTAATTTCTTTTTTTCTGAGAGCAATATACTATTTAAAATTAACAAACTCATGGGAATCATTTGCATTGCATATTTAAACAAAGTCAGGATCAGGAGTTTTAAATAATATGAATGTAAGAACTAAAGCAGGAATCTGCTTTTTATCTCACTTTCATTAGATTAGCAAGGCGGTTCATTTTGTATCCTGCTGGCTGTAAAGTTCAAAACAGAATAAATGAAGTTGCCAAGCTGTTTTTCAGTCTGATAATGGCCTAACCTAAATATCCTCAGCTTCTGAGAAGACTAACACCAGGCCTGTGCTCAAGTCTCCTATTAAATATGTGCCTTTCAAATTATTTTCTAGAATTTGAGCTTACTTATGAACTCTGCTGCTGCTTCTGTACTTTGATGTTAAGCATCCATAAAGGTGGCAGGTAGAGCAAATGATGAAACGTGTATCATGATGTCAACTTAAGTCCCTATGTATTTGAGTGAGATGTTGCAATACAAGTACAAAAGAGCAGAGCTTGTATTATGATATCATAAGGTACATTTTGTTATTTTGGCATCATAATGGTTAGGAACATATGATTATACCTGTATTGTTAGCTTTTGCTTTGCTGCTCTGTATATTATTTTTATTGTTGCTAATCAGTCACTTTCCCTTAAGCCGGTTATTGTACTCTCTGCCCACACTCATGATCTCGTGGATATTATGCAAATTGCAAAGCCTCTGGGATAACTTCTGGAATAATTTGGATAGCTACTAGAATTATGTCTGTAATTCATGTTTGGGTCTCTGTTCCAGCACAATGACAATGGAAGAGCTTCTAACATCTCTGCAGAAAAAATGTCGGATAGAATGTGAAGAAGCCCATCGCCAATTGGTGTGTGCTCTTAACGGCTTAGCTGGTATTCATATTATTAAAGGTAAAAAATGCTGGAAATAGTATGGCATACTTCTTTGACTTGGAAATATATTCTGTTATTTTTATCTTAATTTGTTATATCAATTAAGTTAAGCTGTTTGTTCTCTTACACTAGATTGTTCCAGGCAACAAGTAGTTATCTGAATGTAGTTGCCTAATGAGAGTAGTAGTGAATATGAGGGATGGTACAGTTTTGGCTTTCAGAAACAAAACTAAATAGAATTTAAATAATACAATATGTACATTTTTGTAGTTTATGTAATAATCTCTTGGTTTCCTATGGTCTAATGAAGCATCTCAGACTTTTGTATTGCTTACATATTTTGATAGATTGATTATGTGCCATCAAGCCAGTATTGACTCTTAGTGACCACATAAATAGTTTTCTCCAGGACAGTTTCTCCAATCTGATCCTTCATGTCTTCCAACAGTGCACTTACTATTGCTTTAACTAAGACAATCCACCTTGCCGCTGGTTGTCCTCTTCCCTTTCCTTCCACATTTCCCAGCATTATGGACTTTTCCAGAGAGCTATATCTTTGCATAATGTGTCCAAAGTATGATAATTTGAGCCTGGCCATTTGGGCCTTGAGTGAAAATGTGGGTTGATATTTTGAGGATCCATTTGTTTGTTCTCTTGGCTATCCTTGGTATTCTCAGGAATCTTCTCCAACACCAAAGTTCAAAAGTATCAATGATTTTTATATCCTGCTTCTTAAAAGTCCAAACTGCACTTCCACATAGCGTCATGGGAAAAACATTGCCTGCACAATTCTGATCTTTGTAGGTATAGACATATCATGACAGTTGAATATCTTTTCTAAGGCCTTCATGGCTGCTATACCAAGTGCTGGTCTGCAGCATATTTCTTGACTGCTGGTTCTTTTACTGTTGATGGTTGATCCTAAAATGCAGAAATTATCCATCACTTGGATATCTTCATTGTCAGTTCTATCCTGATTTTCTACCTGTTGTAATTAATTTGGTCTTCTTTATCTTAGTCCCAGTTTTTCTCTGTGCTTCTTGATGTTCATTACTAGAGCTTGCGCATCATTTGCATTTTCAGCTATCAAAGTAGCATCATTAGCAAGCATAAGTTATTTATGTTTCCTCCTCCAGTTTTACAACCATTCTCAGTTTCATTCAGTCTAACTTTCATCAATAAATATTCAGCATACAGGTAATCCTCACTTAACGACCCTAATTGGGGCCGGCAACTTTGCTGTTAAGTGAAGCAGTTGCTAAGTGGGAAGTCATGTGACCGTGACCACTTTCCACCTGGAAAGAGACAAGACTAGTCAGTTTCACACCTTCAGCTTTTTTTTTACCTCCTAACCTCTCCCCCATTCTTTGGAATGCTCAAATGCCTGCTTTCTGTCTTGTACACATTGAAAGCAATGCAATCATGCTTCCCAGGCCCCCCCCTTCTACACATTGAAAGCAATATGATTGCTCCGGCAGCAGGAAAGGGTCAGGGAAAGGAGAGATTGTCTATAGAAGTTTTCTCTCCCTGCCCCCAACCTCGCAGAGCGGAGAGATTGGAGAGAGAATTCAAGAGAGCAAGGTGTTTGCTTTTGTGCATATCGAAAGCAATGAGATTGCACTCACAGCCTGGGGCTGGGAACCATGGGTGTGCTACACAAACAGATTACAGTACTCTCTTGAAATCTTTTCCTTCCGTTCATGATCTGTTTCACCGTCAGCCCCTGGCTATGTCTTTGCTGTTATAACTGAGCTCTTCCATCTCCTTGTACCAATAATATAATCAGTTTGATTTTTGTGTATTGCAAGTAGTGATGTCCTTGTATATAGGCATCATTTTGGATGTTTGAAGACTATGTTAGCAATGAAGGAATCATTGGATGGCAGAAATTGGTAAGTTGTTTTCCTGCTTCATTTCAGTTTCCTAGGCCATATAGACCAACTACATCTTCCTCCTCAATATTTTCACCTTTGGCATTCCAGTCTTCAACCATAAGTATCATCTTGCTTGCATGTTCTGTCGATTTCAAATTGAACTTGAATAAAATTCATTAACCTCCTCTTCTTCTGCATCAGTGGTTGGAGTATTAACTTGGATAATTGTAATATTAAAGGTTATCTGCAACATATTATTGATATTATTCGGTCATTAATTGCATTGTAGCCAAGTACTGTTCTTGCTGTATTTTTTCTAACTCTGAAAGCAACTTAATGTCTTCTCTGTTTTTTGTGCCCAAATAATAAAGAGTATGATCTGTCTGACAGATTTTTTAGCTTCATTTTCAGAGTGGAAGTTTGGTATTCTTTTCAGTTAGATTCATTGTGTATATTTTTTAATTTAAGGGTGCTTCTTTAAAAAAAGGCTAGTGATAATGTATACATAATTTTATGAAAGCAGGAAACAAATGCAATGATCTGGTCTGAAATGTGCTAATTTTTCAGGAGAATATGCTTTGGCTGCTGATTTGTATAGAGAGGTACTACGTTCCTCTGAGGAGCACAAAGAGAAGCTCAAAACAGATTCATTGCAAGTATGTACATTAATTCGGTTTTTTTGAATGCGTACATAGACTATGCTAGTGTACGAATACGTTATTATTGGCTGTTCACCTAACCAATGTTAAATTTCCTTTCGCTCTGAGTCAGTATTGCTTTGATATCTTTTGTAAAAGCTTATCATTTTTATTACAAAAACAGGTCTTAAAAGAAATTAAACCTATATAAATTCATTTATGAATAAGCAAGTGCTGGGCAATTATTACATCTCCATTTCTTTTTATTTTGCAGTTGTGATTGATGCAGATGGATCTGAATAGTATTGTTAAAGAGCAAGAGATAAATATTTTAAATAAATGCAGTTCTTTCCTTAGTGTATATATATAATGCTCCACTTAGCACTATAATTACTTATCTTAGCTTTTTAGTTTGTGGTATTTTTAAAATCTTTTTTAAGGGATTGCACCAGACTATTTGGAACATGGTACTTTATAAGCTCTCAAGATTGATGTCAGCCCTTTGAGGTAGGCCAGATCAGGAAACAGGTTCCACGAAAAATACTGGTACTCTACGTTATATAAATATAGGCAGAAGTAACTGAATATTGAAAGCCCGATGTTTTCCTTTTCCTCCCTCTTATACCAAAGCAAGTCAAGGCAGAATCACTTTAAATTTCTTTCTAATGTCTTCTTCCTTTTTGGGGGCTTAATTCATGTTTTATTAACTGTTATATTCTTTCTCCAAGGTCATTTCTCTGTTTCTCTACAGTTATTAATGTAGAATGTCTGAATTGAGTTGGAGTAATTTTCTGGAACTAATTATTGAATCAATTTTGTCAGGTTGTATAGGCCTATTTGTCATTGTTCAGGTGGCTGATATATTTATATAAACTTGTTTGACAGCAATAATCTAAAATTATGGTTCTTTCACTTTAGCTTCAAAATACTTTGGAAACCCTTGAAATCAATAATGTCTGTATATTTCAGTTATTATAATTTTTATACTATTGCAGATCACACATTTCCATTCTAAAAGACTATTTTTTTCTCCCCATTTCCTTTGATGTGGCTATTGACAGTTTGTGAAGGTCAAACACAGAATCTGGAGCAAAGAATTCCATGAACTCAAGGACCCCCCTGGCCCAAATTTTGGTGCCCTTCATTATGCTGTTTAAATTCAGCAATGAAAATGTTGGTTTTCATCTGTGCAGAATTACAAGTTTTGGGCAAAGTGCTTAAGGCAATCATTTTAAAACCTTCAGCTCCTCCCTCCACAAAATCCCTTCGAATGAGCAGAAATTTTATCACATCATCATCCATACCCCTTGCAACTCTTAGAGACCTTTTTTTAAAAAAATAAAATAAAATAAATAAAAGTTGAATCATTGGCCATAAAAAAACAGCCATTCCGTTTGGTTGCCTTGATCTGAAAATGAGGTGTATATAGTACTGTACAATTTCTGTTCAATTTTCTTTCTCTGTCATATTCCTTCCCAGAAGCAGGAAGAGGTCAGCTAAGCAATAACTGTTAATCCCCGTAAGCACCTAGGCAAATATCTGATAGAAGAATTGGATTGTGGTTGTGTTTCTGTATTCCAGTGAAATTTAGATTTTAAAGAAGTCACTTAGTTGCCTCTGTCCATGGTAAAGTTGATGGTATTTACTTTTAATCACAGAGCAATAAGATATGTAGAAATTATCTGTGCTGGTTTTTGACTGTAATAAAGTTTAAAGTAATAACATTTTAAGTAAGAAAGAAATTATTTTGTAAGTTTCCTTGGTGTGCAAATTCTGTTACACATTAAACTGTTCCCCATTAGAGTTTTCAGAATATATTTGACTTCATGACAGGCATTTATGTTGTATTGACAGAGACTTCATTCTACACACAATCTGATGGAACTTCTGGCAGCAAATCATCCTGGGATATCACCCACTTTACGAGATGGCAGACTTAAGGAAGAGGTAGCTGTTCATTGTATACATTTCAATGTCCATGAAGGAGTATCTATTTGCAAAAAAAGAAAAGAAAAGAAAATCAATTGTATTTAAAAACATAGAACATTCCTATATGGGACACTTCATGATAAAGTCTGGAGTAATAAATCTGTACCAGTTCCAGGGCTGACAAAAATGATCACAATACTAAGGATGGGAATTTTTTGGATCCTGAGGTATGCCCATGTCAACCCCCAGCATTCTTTTGTTTGCTTTCCGGTGCCATGAGGAAAATAATTTTGAAGACTGGTGAAGAAGAAAAGATTTCAAATCAGATTTCCCCCTCTGAGGTTAGACTGTCTTGCCAACTTCAGAGGAAGAAATTAGAACTATACTATGATTATCTAATAGTCATCATGGTCGATACCATGAACAACTTACTCCCCCGCTCCAAAAAGATATCTTTGTAATAACTTCATAGAGCTGTCCAGATTCTTCTGTCAGGGTTCAAATTTATACTCTTCTCCTTCTGAAACATCTGTTAATTATACTTGGTTGTGTTGTACTGAAATGATTAATCAAACCAGGCTAATATTCTAGAATAAATTTGTTTAATTACAAAAATATATCTAAGGATTAACTGTATTTCATTGTTAGAAAGGTTTCTGTCAAGGTTATATGACTAATTAATGTTTCATTTAAATGCAGTGTGAACAGCTCCGCCAGCATTATATGAGTAAATCAAACGCAGAAGTTGCTGAAGCTCACCAGGCTTTGCAACCAGTTATACAGACAATTCATGAACTCCAAAGGAAAGTAAGAGTCTGCTGACATATTTGAATTGTATCTCTTTAATGTACACAGATACTGTATTTTTGTCGTCTTTATCACAGAGCATCTTGAGATCAGGATGTTCAGATGTTTTGAATTAGAAACAATCTGCCTTGAGTATGTAACACCCTGTTTTCAGATGCAGAACATCTTTTTAAGCATGAAATGGCCTGTTTCAAGCATTTCAGAAGTGCTTCAAGCTTTTACATTTGAAGCAGTGTTCTGAGTTTGAAATAATTCCAGTGTGCTCAGATCAGATACTACATCTCTGATAGAAGTTTCACACCTAAATAGAGGTATTCCAAATTCAGAATGGTTTAATTTGAAATTTTTTGCATAGCACAAATTGAGTTTCTGTTATAATGAGCTTAGTAAGTTATAAGTATGATTCTTTATTAAAAGTTTTTTCCAAGTTTTAGACGACAGTAAGCAACGGAAACCCCGCCTCCTGCG